TCTACACAGCCAACTATGGTGCACAGCACAAAACCTGTCTCTTATACACATCTAGATGTGTATAAGAGACAGGAGAGAGAGAGAGCCTCATCCCCTACGTCAAAACCGTAAGGTAGCTGCATGGAAACCACTCCCGCTGATGTGTTGTGTGTGTGTGTGTGTGTTTGCTGCCTGAAATCTTCTCGCGCTGGTGCGTGCTCCCTCTCTCTCTCTCTCTCTCTCTCTCCTCTTTCTCTGCATGTGCGCATGTGTCAAGTCTACTTTGGTTCTTATGTTGAACAGGCGAACCATATGACGGTGATGATTTCGATATCAAAAACTCCAACTATGTCGTTTGCCAGTAGTTTTTTATTGAGAAATTTACATTTTCGTTCTCAATTCCACATGCGAAATGAGATGTCCGCGAGCGCAACTCATTCGCCTTAACTCCATGTGTAGGTATATATGTACATGAGCAGTTGGTACTGCTGCTGCTGCTGCTGCTGCTGCTGTTGATTGGGATGTGCGTCCACGTCAGCGATCCGTGATCAAATCAATCAATCAACAGGTCCAGGGCATGCCGATGCCAAGGCTGACCCCTCTGAAGGGGTCTCGAGAGTTGGCGCGAGCGAAATCCGTTGGGCTGGATGTGTTTGACTTCGACGAGAATGAAGAGCACTGCGATCCCGATGCCCGAGAGGCGCGAAACTCCCAAGCAGCAGCACACAGTGCACCGAGAAAGTCGAAGAAGCGTTTGTCTGTGGTACTCAAGAAGTCGGGGGAAGGTAAGGCTGCTGCTGCTGCTGCTGCGGCGGCGGCGGCGGCAGCGGCAGCGGCAGCGGTGCCCGCCCCCACCCCTCCAGGGAAAAGTGTCGCACTGCCGCGAGCTCATAGGTCCCGACGCCCGGCGGGAAGTGGGGACGATAACTTGGTCGCGACACCGATCGGAGCACCAAGTCTGAGAGGAGGATCAGATCGGGAGGAGCACGCGAAGGGAGGACCGCAGAGAGAGGAAAAAGAGGAGGGCGATGACCCGAAGGGTCCATGTCATGGTGGTGCAGTGCGACGCAGCCGTCGCACACCGAAGCGCAAGTCGACTGGCAATCTGCATGCGGCGACTGCTGCGGACTGGACGGCAGGGGAAGAGAAAGGAGGAGAAAATGGGAAAGAAGGGGAGCAGCGCGGGGGAAGAAATGAAGCCGACGGAGAGGCTCCTGGTAGTGAACGTATCTCCTCACAGGGAGGAGCTCGCATTCGCCGACAGGAAGAAGAAGACGCCGCACCCACAGGAAATATTAAGAAGAACCCCCGTGCAAGAAGCAAGGTAGGCGGATATGGTGAAAGATTGCCGACGGTGATTCGCAGCGAGGAGGAGGTGGCCGCCGATGGTCTGGCTTCAATCTTCCAACGATCCCCGACTAGATTTGCTGACGTGGTCTCCCATCAAGAGAGCGATCATCGGCGCGATAGCTACGATGACGTGACAGAACAACCTTCGGCGAAGTTGCAAGAGGAGGCGATGGGCTACCTGAACGTGCTGTGTGCGGCTGTCCAGCTCGCGGAAACCGACCAGGTGGCGACGGCGGCAAACACATCGCCCAGGGATCGGGATCGGGAGCGGGATGGAGGTGGAGAGAGGCAGAGCAGTGTGGTGGGGATGGGAGGAGCCGACGATGGCGGTCGGGCAGCAGATGCGATGTCGCACAAGAAAGATGGACGTCGCACAAGCACAGGCAGAGGCGGCACGGAGCGGCGGCGGACGCCATGGGAGGCAGGTGATCGACATAGCGGGGAGAGAGACATCGCAAGCCGAGGCGAAACGGGAGAATGCGGCGGATGCGTATCGGCCGGAGGAACAGTAGTGCGGTTGACTGCTAACTCTAATAAGGAGGAGGTTAGAGCGCCACGTGATGCCGAGGGACAGAAACTTTTGCCCGAAGATGTCAGGGAAGGAGGAGAGGACGAGCGGCGGCTGTCGCCCGAGGCAACAGGTCCCGTCGTAGGCAGTGGCTGTGACGGAAGCACGCCGAGGGAGGCCAGCGGCACAGAGAACGCCGCCAATCAGAGCCCAATTCCGAGCTCTGGTTCGGGCATGAGGGTAAGTAGCGCAGAGAAAGGAGGAAATAGGGAGGAGGAGCTTTTGGAGAGGGAGGAGGAGGTAGTGGCGCGTGGGCAAGCTCAGGATCAGGAATGGGAGGAACTGTCCGACGATGATCTGCGAGCTTGGGGCATCAAGACGTACGGAGGGGAGTCGTCAGATGAACGGAGCAGCGGAGGTGATGCGTGGAACGAGGACGGTTCTGAACGACGGCAGACCATAACCTTATCCGGAAAAGCGCTTCAAATGACGGGTGCGAGCCAGGTGGAAGGGCGGGCGGCTAGGCAAGAGGAGCAGGGAGAGAGGGGAGGAGGAGGAAGAACTGATCGTGAAGAAGACGAGATGCAGCAGGAGGAGAATGGGAAGGAGGAGGAGGAGGAGGAGCAGGTTAATGCCAGCAATGGACACGTGTTTAACGCCGAGGATGCCGTGGAGATTGGTGGGAGGGGGGCAGAGGAGGACGCCATTGATGCGATTCAGCACGCGGTAAAGAATATGGTGACTGTGGAGATTGGGAGGGGGGGGGCAGAGGAGGAGCTGATTGTGGGGATGAAGAAGGATCAAGAAGGTGACTGTGAGGAACGGCGAGTGGAAGACCGAGGGGTAAGTGATCTTTGCATGACAGCTATGGCGGCCCAGAACAGCAGCGAGGAAGAGGACGTGCACATGATGGCCATGGATGTTGACGAAAATGCTGAGCGGCACGAGGAGAAGCCCACCTTGATGGGGAAGGAAGAGGAGGAGGAGGAGGAGGAGGAGAAATTGAATCGCAATGACGGAACAGAGGGGAACGAGGAGAAAGAGAACGGGAGGGCAAAGAAGGAAAATCGCAAGGGCGAGGAAAAGTGTAGGGAGAAGGAGAAGGGAGGGGTGATGGAGGACGAAAACGAACACCGCGTGGAGGAAACGGTTATGCTCACAGAAAATTTTGGCGAGAGGATGAATGGAAGGGAAGAGGAGGAGGAGGAGGAGGGAAGGGAGGGAAGAGGGAATGTGGAAACCGACGAGGAAAGCATCGTGAAGACGGATGAGCAGAAGAACGAGGAGAGGAAGGAGAGAGACGATGAGGAGGAGGAGGAGGAGGAGGAGGAGAGCGGGAATGGGGTAAGGGACGAGGAGACGAAAGAGGAGAGGAAGGAGAGGGAAGTTGAGAAGAAGAAGGAAGGGAAAGAGGAACGCGGGCAGGGGGAGGAGGAGGAGGCGGCTCTGAGGAAAGGCCTGCCGGCGCTTGCGCGCAGTGGATCTAAAGGGAAAGGCAAACGGAATCAAGCGGGGCATAGACGAAATGACAGCGTTTGTGAAGTGTATAAGCAAAGCCGAGATGAAGACGAAGGTGACAGGGCGGCGGGGGATGTAAGTGAGAGCGAACCCCATGAAGGTGGAGGTTCAAGGAAGAAGAACCCAAAGCAAGTCTCGGTACGTGGGACCCAGAAGACACACGCCGTTGGATTTGACCTAGAAGATAGGAGCAGGAGGAGGCCTTCGAGGTCTGAAAGCGGGCAAAGTCCAGTGCAACTCGAAAAGGAGAAACGTAAGCGCAAGATTCGCAGGGGTAAGAGAAGAGACAAATCAAAGGGCGAGGAGAGGGAAAGCGGGCAAAGACTAGTTCAACTCGATGAGGAGAGTAAGGGCAAGACGGCCAGGGGTAGTAGTAAAAGAAGAGAGAAATCCAAGGACCAGGAGAATGGAGGGAGGAGAAAATTAGGTCAATTACGAAAAGATTGCACGGTCACCTTGGATGCATCTGACGGCATTAACGATGAGGAGGAAGAAGGGAAGGAGGAGGAAGTGGGAAGGGAGGAGGAAGTAGCTAGGGAGGAGGAAGAAGCTAGGGAGGAGGAAGAAGCTAGGGAGGAGGAGGAAGAAAGGAGGGAGGAGGAAGGTGGGGAGAGGAGTGTGGGAGAAGGAGAAAAAGAAGAGGGAATTGCGGGAAGAGGCAAGGGTGTGGCAGAAGTCGAGAGCAGCGATATAAGGTCATGTGAAAAGCGCACAAAAGAAATCGAGCGCGTTGAGACAGCTGTAATGCAGAGCGAGGGGGATGAGGAAGACGAGTGCAGGAGGGAAGAGAGAGGAGGTGGTATGGTGGTGAGGAGGAAAGATGGAAAGGAAGGAAGTGATAGAGCAGGAGGAGGAGGAGGAGGAGAGGAAGGAGGAGGCAAGGAGGCTGTGAAGGGCAAGGAAAGTCGGCCAAAATCGCGGGAAAAAGTGCGCGTGAATCAGAGGGTCGAGACGGCTGCAGATGGCAACAACAGCCAAGATGAAGGCCAAGCGAAAGAGGGAGGAGGAGGCAAGGGTGCGGGAAAGGGGGTCAAAGAAGGGAGAGGGAAAGCTGAAAAGAAGAAGGGTAGGAGGAGGACAGGGGAGCAATCACGTCAAATGCAGGCAAACGGGACGGCGGCTGAGATGGAGAGAGCGGCGCCGAACGGCGAGGCTGAAAATGAAGACAAGAGGGAAGATGAGGGGGGAGCGGGGGGCAGGAAACTGAGGAGGAAAAAACAGAGTAAGGGGGAGAAGGATAATGCGGAAGGCGAGGGCGAAAGGGAGAGTCCACCCTGTGAATTGCCTACGAGAGGGGGTTCGGCCGAATGGCAGGGAAATCGGATGGCTGAGACGTTGGCATTGTCTGACGATGGTGAGATGGAGTACTGGGAGGCAGAAGGAAGAAGAGGGCAGCAGGCTGTGACAAGCAAGCAGGGAGAGGAAGAGAGGAGGGAGGTGATGAAAGAAGCTGCAGCTATGGCGGCAGAAGCAGAGAAACAAAGTTATTGGCGGGATGCAGAATTGGTAGAGTATGCGGATGAAGACCAGTTGCTTCCCTTTCGTCTGGAAGGGTTCACGGAGATGGAGTTGATGAATATGGTGGGTGGGTTAGATGAGAGCGGGGAGCTCGATCGGTGCTCCAAGCTCAAGCTGGCAGCCTACAGGGAAACAAGACAACGGCTGTTTCATGTGGACATTCCACCTCTGTCCTTCTACATGGAGGCTCGGCGTCTGCTCCTCGAGTATGCGAAGGACTTCGAGATGGAACACAACATTGACAGGTTCGTGCTTCTTAGGGCTTATACCCACACACTATAGGATGATATAGCAGGAATAGTGGACATTCCCCGGATGTATCCAAGCGGAATAATAGTGGACGTTCCTCAAATCTATCTAGAAAGAGCATACGTGGGGATTCCTGGGATGTATCTAGGCTTCCTCATGGAGGGTTGGCGAAGGGCCTCAAGATGGAACACAACATTGACAGGTTCGTGTTTCTTAGGGGGTACCCATAGCAGGATGTCCATAGATGGAATACTGAATATTGCCTGGATGCACCTAGACAGCAGAAGAGCGGGCATTCCGTGGATGTATCTGGCCTTCCACACGGGGAGTTGGTTAACAGAGGGCCACAATTTCAGAAATTTGTCATGCCATTTATAAGAAAACCCAAAGGCGTTCTTGGTCAAAATTGTCACAGGGAGGACTAAATTTTCAGAAATTTGTGATGTCATTTATAGGAAAACCCAAAGGCCTTCTAATCAGACTTGTCAAGGATACATAGAGTGGACACCATACTAACGAAAAAAAAAAAAAAAAAAAAAAAAAAAAAAAAAGCATATAACTTCAAGGCAAGCTGCACTTTCCTCTTGTTGCGTATGTTCAAAGGACCTCTAAAGCGGAGCACACCACAGACAGGTTTGTGCTTCTCACACTAGTACTGCTCAGGATGTACATAGCTGTAGTGATGGCCAGAATGTATCGTGCGCCGAGATGGAGCACCAACATTTTGACAGGTTTGTGCTTTTCGGGAGGGGGGGAACTCACTCTAGGACTTACAAAAACTCCTCGCCCCCCCAAAAAGAGTCGTTTTCGATTGCTGAAGGAGCAGACCATACCACCAGTGGCCGGCCCAGCCTTTCTGTGTGCATGCACTGGTTAACCCAGTGTCATGGATACACTTGACCCACTGGAGGTGGGCTTGAATGTCCGGACTTCGCAAAATTTCCCTCTCATCTTCTTGAGTGAAAAATCCTGAAAAGAATAATGGCCGTAGATTACATGCAGTTGAAAAAGGGGAAAATGTTTTAAGAAGTAAAAAAAGGTTTTGCCCATCGTAAAAAAAACATGGTGCAAATGCAACCTGTATGACCAGATCCCTACAACGATTCGGTATTCCAGGGCTAGGCAAAATCCAGCATCTGGAGAATGAGAGGCTTGGAGCCACTGGTTGCTGATCTCGGTTTATCTATGGACAACAGCTGTGGATCTACGCACCACAAGCCGTTAACAAAGACCCCCACCTTTCAGCCCCAGTTAACCCCCTCAAGTTCCTCAACCCTGAAAAGTGCATTGGAGATCTTTTTTTTTAGTTTTTTCTCTCAGACAACTTGTCAGGCCATTTATAACAACACCCAAGGTCATTTTAACCAAACTTGCCGCCAATCCATAGAGTGAAGATCATACTCGCTACTTACAAAATACAAATTGAAAAAAAAACTTTAAATGGTATTCCAGTGGCGGGGAAAATCCAGATCGGGAAAATCTAGATCCTTGCAGCCACTGGTTGTCAATCTTCGTATCTATTCGATGGCATCTGTTGATATGTGCATGTGGGGCGTGGCCCCTACACCGGTTCGGTATTCCAAGGGTGGGCATCGATCTCGATTATCTACCAAGTCTCTCTTGATCGGTGCGTATGGAATGGTGACCCAGGGGCCAAGTTCTACTTGCATGAGATTCTGCATTTCTGGCCGTGGATCTTCATGATCTACGGTCAGAAACAAAGAGTCTGGGTAAGCAGGAGATAACGGGTTACCTAAGAGGGGTTGAGTGGGCCAGTGACGGCAGTTTCCGCCCTGGTTGAATCGCGTCCTAGTACTCGCAGTGGGGCTACAAAACCCGTGCCCGCATCCGGAAAACAACAACAACAACAACGACGTCAAAGGATGTTGTGTGTGCACTTACAGTGTTGTATGGGCGCGCACTTTGCAAACATAGAGATGCGCTGACCTCAGCTGTAGAAACCAAATTGTAGCGTCCCATAGAAATAGTCATGTGCTCAAACCGAAAGCAGAATGTAATATGAGATACACCAAGTAAGAGCAAGGCAGTGAAGTCAATTGATAATGAAAGCCCTCTCATGCCCTCCAACATCTGAGTGTCTGGAATTGGATTCAATGCGGGTCTTGCATTGAATATTTCAATGCGCGTTGAAACCGTGGTAAATTGGCGTTGAAACGCCCGTTTACCGCGGTTCACCGTGACCCGCAAAGATTTTTCCCGCGGGCAAAAAATATGCAAAAAAAACAAACAAACAGGGTTGTAGATATTTTCGAGATCTACATCCCCACATATATACTACGGTTTACCGGGCAGTTCTATTTGACGATATATACTACGACTTCGCTAGCTTCCTGCTACGGTTTTCTCCGGTCAGGTCGAGCGGCAGTGGTCGGGGCCCTCACTACTCGGCCATGCTGTGCCTCTAGTGCCAGCGGCGTGTCTGGAGTGTATTTTTTGGCTGTGACAGACCTTTCTTTGTTTCGTGGGTGTTTTGCTGGCTTGTGATGGGGTGTGAACCGAC